CTGGCGGGTGCCGTGGCGCGCGGTTGGCCTGTTCGGGACGTATCGTACCGGAGTGCGTGTTTTCTCCCTGAGAGAAAGAGAGGGAGAGGAAATCGAGAGAGAGAGAGAGAGAGAGAGAGTCGATTGAAGCTTCGAGATCGTCCAATTCAGACGAGGAACGGTAAGGCAGTGATAACGGAGTTTTCGGAGTAATCATTTGATTTGGAGAACAACGGAGGTTGTCCGACAAAATCTCGGCTCCAATCCAACGGACGTATCGTGGACCTGTCCGTTCGGTTCGTGAGAAACAAGTTTGTATTTTTCCTCCGCGAATCATCGGTTCGATGGTACGTATCGATCGTAATTACAGTGGATAGTGTGGTATCTGCTTGATCGCGCAAATCGGAGCGCAACTTTCACAGCGTCGCGACGACGGACGGACGTCAAGGCAGGGAGACGAGAGTGACGCGCGGATAAACAGATCGAGAGACGCGAAGTGGTTGTCTATCACCGCGACTCGCTATACCGAGAGAGTTATCGGCTCCGTAGTTACAGAAGGGCGTAATCGAGGCGCTCGTAAAGTGAGTGAGTGACAGTGGCGGAAGTGTGTGATCGCCAGGGCGGCGGATGATAGGAAGTTCTTAACGACGCGGGTGTGTATTACGGCGGAGGATCATCGATTCCCCGAGACCGACGCTCATCGAACACGAGACCACGGGTTCGGGGACATCTCTCGTCGTCGATATTTCTGAGTGGTGAGTTTTCTCTATGACTCATAACATTTCGACGAACCGAGCACGACGGTGGAACGAAATCTGAAAAAAACAAGAGTTCCGAGAAATGTTTGAAAAGCATTCGAGAGATTAGATAACGCGTTAGCCATTTGCGACGTTTTTAAGCGTTACTAATGGCGCGGCTATTTCTTTTTCTGTCTCCTAGCTCAGAAATTTATCGTATTTTTCTTAGCAGTTGGAGATTTTCGGAATATTGCTTCGTGTAATTTTTGACGAGCTAATATTCGATAAGGGCGAGTGAGAGTAAAAATCCTGCGTGGTATTTCGTGCGTTATAATTTAATAATAAAGTAAATAGTATTTAAATTCTTACATCATTTAACAAGACGTTCGACTGGATTCAAGCCATTATTACGTAATTTTGTGTTCATACGCGAGACCTGTAAAAATATGATAAATATGTGTCTGTCTTCATTTATTTAGATAAAAAAATAAACACAGATATTTACGTATTTAAGTTTTGCGAAATAACGTTGGTGTAACCGAGCTTAGGACATAAATACGTTAAAGTGAGATTGATACGTGAAAAACGAATACATTTACAAATATTATGATTTCAACGTTTTTTATGAAAAAAATTGCTTACGTCATTCTTTCGCAGAAATCGATACAATTTTGGATCCGTTAGTACAAGAGACGAAGTTTTGTTTGATAAAAGTTGTTAGGATTCTTTGACATGTTTGTCGCATTGTCAATAACCATGTGAAGTGTTATGAAACATGGTCGTTGCTCTAATAGATGATGAAATGTGGACAGTCATAGATAAAACACAAAGGCGAAACTTTGAATGCATTATCGACATTGATAATAACTTATGATAACTCGATATAACAATAGAAATGTGCTGGAAAAGAGATAATTACCCTTTGAACGGTCTTTCCATTGTATTTTAACACAACATTGAAAAGTTTCCGCTTTAATAATGTCTAATTTTTTCGGGCTAATACATCATTAAAAGTTGTTTAAAAGATTTTTAATTTTTCTGTTAAAGAATTCAAAATTTTTAAAAGAGCGCTTTATAATAAACTTCAATATAATTATGTAAAAAAATATATAGTACTTTTCTCTCGATATTTTGTTTGAAGCAAGTAAGGCAGACTTTTCTATAGGAAATTATTGTAATATTTTTGTTAAATAGATTTTCACAATCACGCGATATTGTTTACATTTACGTTTAAATAAATAATATATCCGATGAAACTAATGGTGAGAAGCGCTAAAATTTATAAAAGCATTGTGCAAGTCACAAATCATTCTAACGATAAATTTAAAGACCATTATTTCTTTCCTAACAAAACTATCCCAGTATCTATCGCTATCGGTTTCTATCGCTCATCAAATAAATTTATGCCGATTTATTTTTATTTTCCACGGGGGGAGAAAAAATGATCCTCAATTACCGTGAGAAATGCGAAAGTTAACCGCCGTCGCTCGGCATGGCGGTTTGATAGCAAATGGTTGAAGTTTCTGGTTGACCTAGCGAATAGCTGCGAGCACCGCGAGAGTCATTTCGCGAATAATGCTTCACGGTAATATTCGCAGATCGATGTTTATGCCGTGGCGCCTGTCACGCGCAGTCTGTCGCTCCGAGCTCGTACAATGCAGTGAAACGCGAAAGTGATCCCACGCCGCAAAAAAGGAAATAAAATCGTGCGATCGTAAAACACAAAAGCTCTCGATCATACGAAACACATCTGCGCGTATGTCACTCTGGTCCATATAGACTAGAGTAGAAAAAATGTGGAATCAAGTTTTCGGACCCAATTTAAAGTTCCCACTGAATCGCCGAGATTTAGTACCTTGTGACACACTAATCACTAATGTCTCATATACAAGCTGTCATTACCGCTCCGTACCTGTTCCCGACAGGTTCTTTGATAAACATCAAGTCGATTTTTTTTATTTAGACACACAATTTATCGGCCACAAAATTATTGGATTGTTTACTTGTTGAAATTTATTTCGCTGAATTTATTGTCAGGACTGTGAATAATGAAATTCGATTCCTGATTTCTTTAAATCAGAGAACTTAACTAGTGATTAATATATTAGTAACTATTTATACACAGATTTGCTAAAATCAAAGTATAACGTCGTGATCCTTAAATTTTTACATGTATACGAAATTTGTTGGTGTCGTCCAAATCGAGAATAATTAATTCTTCCGCTTTAATGTCGCAGTCAATGACATTCGGACTTTTTGCCGATGAGATTGCAAGTGTCGGGCTAAAAGCAACGTTCTCGCTCGATTCGCGAGTTTTCTATGAAACCTGACAATGACCGGCCTAATTCTAACGGCACGTCCCAGTTCTTCTTTTTTTTTTTGTCAAAGTTTCCGAGTATAACGGCGTTGTCTCCACAGTCCGAGACGGTGAATTTAAGAGCATTGTCGTGTCGTGCGGCCAAAACGAAAATAACAGAGGTTCGAATAGAACCCTTTGCACTGTGTGCCCACTGTGGGAAATTTTTCTTTCTCTCTTAGAATCTTTTTGTCGGTAATGTCCATAAATCTTAATTCATCTAAGTCAACGGTCTTTTTCACTATTTAAATCTTATAGCAGAAAACATATTAATTTTCCTATATACGATATTTAAAACTTTTATGTCAAAATAAGAAACCTAAACGAACTGAACTGTTCGATCAATTCAATGTACATTTCTTCGATTGAGAATGCATTTTTAGCAAAATGAAAAAATTACAGATGTTATGTTGTGTATTTGAAATTGTTGTGCATTAATATAAAAAATTTAACAGCGATTTGGATAAAAAATTATTTCAATAAGCAGTAGACATGTTTTTAATAAGTAATTGAAACGAAATGAGAATTTTTTTATTGAAATTATAAGATTGTATTGTTAGATATATTAAATATTGAATGTTTCATATGCATATAAAATTCATTTTTATATGGAAAGTATAAATTTCTATTTTCAGTCACTTTTTGCGGAGACTGTACACCCAATACATCCCGAGATGCATCCTTAATACAGTATATCAATTTCAAACTACGTAACTACGTATTCTAATCTTCCTAATACTCTAAATCTTGTTTTGCTCAAATGTCACGGTTTTCCAGCGTTGTATAAAATTTGATTTTCTTGGTATTGACCTACAAAGTAGGAAGCGGATAAAGTATTGTGTTTGGGACGGTTAATCCTACAGCTAATCTCCTTAAAATGTTAAACATTCTTAAAGACAGCATTAGAATATTAGAAATATCGTGACAGCCTTATAAGGGTTAAGCTGGGATCTTTCCTAACTATAAATAGACCACACACAAAGTTCTTGACGGAATTACCTGAGCTGTTTGCTGGTGGCATCTAGTAGCGCTATAATACGAGCTAATGTCTCGTGAACGCGAATTTTAGTAGTTCGTAAATGCGTAATGTTACAAGTGACTTTATGAATATAGCATGCTAAAAAATATGACGGTAGCAAGAATGACGAATGGTAAAAGCTCACTATGAATCACTCTTATATTGTAATCTTTGCGCTGTATGATATATGACGCGAGAGTGAAATATTTCGTCTCAGCTGTCGAGACGAAATATCTTTTTCTGAATATGCGTGATGGAAAATCAGAATGCACGCAAAAAGTAATTCTTTAAATCTTCTACAGTGTTCTTTATCTTCGTGCGCTCTTAATTCTTAATGTTTATGGCTAGATAAAATATTCAAGTCATTGGAATAGGATTTAAAGAACTATATAGATAAACCGCTCAAAAAGTGAATGATAATTCCTGAAACGATATTTAGAAAAATACAACCGCTAAAAAATATTCCATTCAAACAATCCTCAGTAATACCTTCGTCTCATTAGAGATTTTCGACGTTTCGTTGTTATTTGATTAAAATTACTGCACTCGCAATACGTTCGTATTTAATTCAGTAAGAAGAACAAACAGAGATCGTTAAAACCTCATTAATCCTATTTTGACGACGTTCGATTAGTACGTTTGATAGCTGTTGTTAACTCGCTTCCGACTCTTCTTGCAAGAATAAACCTGTAAAGGTGAACTCGTGCGGAGCGATTGAATCGTTCTTGTGGCGATTATACGAAAAAAGGAGCAATCGATTCGATTCGTCTCCCTGATATCGCGGCGATTTGCGACGTGGCGCACAATCGCATTTCCATAGGGTTGAGAAATGGGTCCTCTCGCGAAGTGCGAAAAGATTGTCGCGAGTGCGAGAGATGGTGGGCGCGGATAACGCGGCCGTCGGGTGATGTTTCACCCGGCTGTCCTACATCAGGATCTTTACCGGCTATCTCCTTTAAGCTCACTCTCCTCGTGGAAGGTCCTCCGTGGTTCCGAGACCGTTTGCGTTTCCCGCACTTCCAACCCTCTCTTTCTCCTTCGTCACTCTCGCATGAAAATTATTCCCTCGTTCGCTTTCTGTCGGACGGAAAAAGCAATCTGTTAACGGATCTCGTTCTTCATCCCTGTACGAGAAACCGTCTCTTCAAATCTGCTTTTACTCTTGGAGGGATTAGTAATATTAACATCCGCGTATCGATACTTATCAATCTCGCTGCTTAAATTAAAAAAAATAACATTAATATGCAGTCTCATCGAAATTATCGTGATTCAAATTAATATCGGCATATTATACTTTTCGTCTGCCTTAATCCTTTTCATTGAACGCGATACGGTTTTATTTATCATAATTTATTATATCTTTTCATATACTCGTATATCATATTTTAATTATGCTCGCGCCTATCCAATGTGAAACCGATATAGCGTGAATGCATATATATATATATATATATATATATATAATATATATATGTTGTATAATTATATAATTAAATACCTTTTATTAAAAACAATGAAGAATGATATCGGTTTATTAATATAATGGAATCATGAAACATTAAATATAATTTAGGCGCAATGCATTTTATATATATAAATGTATATATGAATTTTATAAAATAATAATTTTATTTCCGTGCATAT